TGTGGCCCCATCGCTACCAAAACCTTGCCACACAAACCCTTTGCAAACAAGATTTGATATGTTCTACATGGGACCATTTTCTTACTTTGGAAGAAGCTTAAAGAGGATGACATTGAGACTTATGTGCTCTTAATATTTCTGCATGTATATATTAATATGTGTTGTTTATGTACCAACTGTTTGTAAGATACGCTTTATTTGACTGCCCTGCTTATAAAGAGCATCGTAAAAACCCAAGTCTCTCAGCTGTGGCTGGTATCTTGACAGACGAATATATTTTGAGATAGGAAGTGACTGGTGCAGTTGAGAGTTCTTCCCTTTCCCTCTTCTGATGGTGAACCACCCAAGTTGGCTCACCGGCATACACACGGGTCTTTTGGGGAAGAAAATGGCTATAGGGCTCCAGGAAGGTGACTTTTCTCCTCTGCACAAGGAATGTACGTGGTCGTGTATGACCGAGGTAAAGAAATTGCTTATCCTGAACATCTTAAGAACTGAGAGGAACTGTCTGGCTTAGCTGGTTTTTGAGAAACGCGTAGTTGAGTTAACTCAGATTGCGCTGTCTGCTGGCAAAATGCTTTACCTGACTATTGTCAAACGTATTTTGCATTTTTATACAGATAAGATTTCTCTGGACTGGTCTGTCTGGAACCTTCAACCCTGAAATCGGCATGTTCTGAACACACTGTCTCTTCTGGTTGTTAGAATTCAAGTGTCTGTAGTCCCACCAAGCAGACTCCTCTGCTGTGTCTTTCACCTTCCCATTTTCATTGTTTAAAGTGAACGTTCGGAGCATGGCGATAGGAAGTGTCAGATGCCGTCATAGCTGCTTTGGAAATATTTGAGAGATGTTTCAGCGTGTCTTTTGCAGGGTGGAAAGGTGCTGGGCACTCCTTAGCGTGCAGAAGCCAGCTGCTCCTGCAAGCAGCAGGTTTTCGATCGGTATGAAACGTCCCCTCTATGAAGGCAGAGACTTAACGTTTCAGTGGAGCCTGAATCAATGAGGTCTGTAGTTCATGGTTGTGACAGTACTTGTCAGGAGAAAGCACGATCATCTGGTTTTTGATTGTCAAAATGTAGTCATTTCCATTTGAACAGATGCTTCATCAGCTCTGATGTCTCGGAGCTTCTGCTTTGACAATCACACGCTTCTGCATCACATGAAACTTCTCATTATTGCTTTCATACTTAATAAGTAATGAATAGCGAACGGTACATGCCCTTAGCAAGGGTTTTGACAGCCACTTCGCAGCGTTCTTCACGTCACACGGTTGAAACTGAGAGAGAAAGCAGAGTAACCTTTTTTTTTTGTGAGCAAGCAGCGATTGTCTCTTGCTGTGAGCTTTGGCTTTGCGTCAGGGAAGTACCCACGTAAAGTTCCTCAGAGCAGGAAAACCTGCTGTCCAGCGGGATTCATTGTGACCAGAGAGCACGTTCTTCGCTGTTCTGTCGGTCGTAGTTTAACGATGGGAGGATGATTTAGGTGTGGCTGAGCCGATCTAATCGCAGGCTTACCCTTGGGTCACTTAAGAACCGGTGTCAGTACTAAGGATAGCGGAGGACAGGGAGCATGGCCGTGGGGACGGAGGAGGGGTAGCAGCCCCTTTCTTGGTTTTAGCCCACGTGGAGTTTTAAAACATGAATCGTCTGATCTGTACTTCTGGTGGGTGAAATTTAGGGTTATTTTTGCTGCCGTTACCAGAGAAAGCCGCTTTCAGATGCGATTTACAGGTTCTCGAGTAGCTTAGTGACTGTATCTTGTGTTTAATACTAATTTGGTGGTTGGGAGGCTACGCTTTCGATTGAGTCCGTTCAGTTCTGCAGATTGAAAGGCAGCAGTTCCTCGTGTGCTAATTTGGACAGTTGTGATTCAACACTGGCACTTCAGGATAATCCCGACTGGAGATGTAGCTGTGATGAGCTTTCGCCTCCTCCTAATGGCTGTTTCCCCTAGAATAGCCTCACGGATTGGAGATCCCACCAGGTGTCCTCAATTGATAAGCAGCTCTTCTCTGTTCACGAGAGTTGTCTGTGAGCGTGTCGGAGTTGTTTAGGAGGAGAGGGAATTGCTTCTCCACTGTCATTACTGGAGCTCCTGCTGATTCAATCTACTCATCCTCTACTGCCACTTTCTTTTGGTGTTCTTTTTTTTTTCCCCACGTTGGTGTAATTGAATTTATTTGCTTTAAGTAATTGAAGTCGGCTATACTTAACGTTATTTTAAAATATTTATCAAACAGCTTGAAGCCAAATATATTTTTCTAAAGAATAACAATTCCAGAGTGAATATCAGTTGCATTTGTTATCTGCAGTACAGTTGTAGGACTTGGGAGGCCCCAGGAGAGCTTGACAGCTTACGTGCTCAGTGCTGTAAGGACACGTAATTAAGAAATCGCATCTGCTCGAGAGAATTTGTATTCTAACTAGATAAGTCAGAGATAGAAAAATGGGAGATTTTGCACAGCAAAGACAAGAACACCTTCCCAGTTCAGAGTAGTGCTGCCTAATTTGAGAAGCTTAGAGAAGTTGGTGGTGATCAGGACCTCAATGATCATCTCTCCCATGCCAGCGCTTCTCAACCTACCCCAGTTCTGTGTTTTTATTTTTCCCTGAGGCTTTCTGACCTGCAGTCCTGAAGAGATCATGTATAATTGTCACTGCAGTAAGGTGCTGTTAATATAAAAGTTTAACGTTGCTTTTATCCACTAACCCTAGTAATCTTGCTTTGTTTGTGACAGATATGCCAAGAATTCAACAGCACTTGGGCTTGGGAGATGGAAAAAAAAGGATACCTAGAAATGAGTGTTGAATGCAAACTGGGGATTCTGAAGGTACATTCATCAGCTAAGTTTCTGAATGACTTTTTCCTCAGTTGCTTAAATATCTTGGAGATTTTGCTTTCTCACTTAAACATCTTGCAAATTCAGCCTGCCTGAACCATAAGCAGGTACATTAAATGTAGAGCTGCTCTTGTAACAGATATGGTGCTCATTGTAGTGGGATGGGCCCAAACTGAAGGTAACACTTTGCATATTTTTCACACTTTGTATTAAAATGGTTTTGTCAGCAGCTGTTTGCCTGTGCAGTACACTTTTAAAAACGTTTATTGGGTTGCTGAATTTCAGAGGCAAAGATGGGACTTCATCTTTTCAAGTCTTGAGAAAACTGTCAGGGTTGGTTCCAAGTTATGGATGTGTTTTGCAGTAGAATGAGATCATTTGTACTATGGAGAAAAAAGAAAAAAAAAGAAAAAGAAAATAAACGTTCTAAGCTGGCCAGGGAGAAACAAAACAAAACACTTCTCTCTCATTTAAAAACAACATGGTCTGGAACCCCCCCCGATAGCTATAGCTGACTCACAGATCCAGTAAGGAGAGGCCTAAAAAGAAGTTCCGAATTACCCTGAAAGATAACGAGCAGATTTTCTTATTTCTGTTTATATTTTGATATTTTAACAGTCTTTTTACTTTGCAGTATCTCTGTGAATGTCAGTTTGATGACAATCTAAAGTTTAAGAATATAATTAACGAGGAGGATGCCGATGCTATGCGCCTTCAGCCCATTGGTCGAGACAAGGATGGACTGATGTATTGGTATCAGCTGGATCAAGAGCATAATGTCAGGATGTACATAGAAGAACAGGATGACCAGGATGGATCCACGTGGAAGTGCATTGTTAGGTATTCCTTTTTCCTTTTATTTTTTTCTTTTCCCTAATTTTGTGGCGTTTTTAGCTATTTGTGACTGGGGCTCAGAAGTGTATTTCAATAAATCTCCCATTTCTCACAGGGCAGGATTCATGACAGTGGGATTTTCTGCCTTCACATGGACATTTTAGTGAAAAACCACGTACAGAAATAACTCACTGATTTGTTGGTAATAGCCAACGTGTAATTTGTTTTCTGCTTAATCAAGCTGCAATGGATAAATGGAAAGGGTTCCAGGAGAAGGCTGTCTTGAGGACGATGGCTCCGTGTTGCTCGCTGGCCAGCTAAATGCCTTAGGAAATGGAGGAGGACTCTTGTTTCTTTAACTTCTGCTCTATTAAGAAAATTGCAAGTGGACAGTTTTGTTCTTGGGGGCATTACATTGCAGTTTTAGCTGCATGGAGCCACAAAACTGTTGACAATACAAATAGGCATGAAAAATCTTCCAGAGTAGAATTCAGCTCATAGATCACTAAAGATGAGGTGTGTGGTGTTGATACAGACCGATGTGTACGTGACTCGGTGCCTCCAGGTCTCACTTGCTGCAGATTGGTCTGTTAATATTTTAATGATATTTTAGCTTCAGGTTTATGGGGTTTTGTGATTCTTGTTACGTATTTTGTTTCTTGCTGTCCTCCCCTATGCAAAATACATGGAAACTTTCTTACTGGAAAAAGAATTAGTTTGAAGTTTGTTTCGTATCTACTAGTTACCCATTTTTAGTTAATCTCCATGTAAACTTTCTAAGCGTGATTAGTTCCAAGTGGATTTTAAACTGGACTCGGCAGAATCATTTCTGACTTAAAAAGTACATAGAGATGTGAAAATAGATCTAAAAACAGAAGTCAAATGATGGGTTTTTTCTGTTTGTAAATTTTAATTTTTATATAAAAAAGTCAAATGATGGGTTTTTTTCTGTTTGTAAATTTTAATTTTTATATCTGTAGCTTATTTACACATCCATAACTTTAGTAACTGAGAGAGTCATACAAAACTGCTTAAACCGCTCTCAACGGGCCATAAAATGATAAGCATTACTACCAGTGAAATTTAGACAGCTGTTGTGGGTGAATAAAGTAAATGTATCTAAACAAAGCGGTCAAGAGCTGAGGGAGGTTTATCCCTCTTCATGCTTTACAGACTCCAGAGATCAGTGCCAAAGCCAGAAGAACTGAGGGTTCTGCTGGGAGAGGTCTGACACTCCACACTCGCAGCAGAAAAGCAGAGTAACGCATTGTAAAGTCTGAAATGGTTTTAAACCCGTGAGGTGCCACATCTCGGGGCTGTTGTGCTTCCAGACTTCCTTTTTTTTTTTTTCTAGAAACCTGGGCAAAACAAAGTGCCAAGTGTTGACTTTGGAAAAAGAAAGGCGAATGCCTTACTATTCCAGTCTGTTACGAAAACAATGACTGTTTTAGCATCACTCCAATTCATTATACCTTCAGGTCTTGATTTTTATAGCTGGATATCCAGCTTAGATGAGGAGTTACAGTGCACTGAGATTGACATGCATAGAGATGCACGAACGTTTTCTCACTGTCATAACTCGAGGCGCTGGAGTTTTCTAGACAACTTTGTATTCTTTATGACACGTGTGTAGGATGAGTACTCGCAAAAAGCATCTAAATTACTTGATTGCATTTGAAAATGTCACTTGAATGAGGTGGTTGCCCCTTTGGTGCATGGGCAGAAAACTACAACTTCTCTCTGCTCAGAGGAAAAGGAAATTGCAAAGAAAAATCAGTGAGGATTGGTAAAAGGATGATAAATAAAAGAAGAATAGTAGCAGCTTGGATCCAGACCCAACAGGACTTGAGTCAAGATAGATAAGGTCCTTCCAAAAAAGTGATTTTATTTTGATGTGGTTAAATTGGAAGGTTTCTGGCTGCGAAGTTGGAACCAGTCTGGCTGGACAGGCATTTCGCTGTGTTTTATGTAAGGTTTTCTTTTAAGCAGATGGTGTTTGTTTATTTTTTTCTGAATCCCTTTGGGGTAAGTGTCTTATCAGACAATATATTCTTTTCTCCTGTCATCTAGGAACCGCAATGAGCTTGCTGAGACCCTTGAGCTCTTGAAAGCACAAATTGATCCTGCCCTGTTGAAAAACAACCATGCTCAGCAGGAGAATTCATCACGTGAAAGCCCGAGCATAGAAGATGAAGACACCAAAAAGGGTGAAGAAGCATCTGCACAAGGTTTTCTGCCTTCTTTTCTCAAATTTTAAATGTCGTGCTGGGGCGTGTTGGGGTTTTCAACTTCTTGTAAAGCTACTGTGTTAGATCAGGACCTTTTTAAAAAAAGAAAAAGTTTCAGTTCAAAGTCAATTCAAGTAATTATTGAATGCTTTGAAATTATAAATATTTTTGGAGTTTTAGTGCACATTCGGACTCAAGAGTTTATCAGAAAAGCTGCGTATAAATTGTTTTCTAAGTAATTTGATTTTTGCTGTACATTCTGTATTATATTGTAAATGTTCATCGTTGTATGTTTTTGTGGGGCACTGAACTGTTGCCAAACTTTTCCTGTTCTCGCAACATTAAAATTGTAAAAAGAAAAAAAAAAATCTGTTTGTGCAATGCCATGATTGAAATCGTTACAGTGTTGGGTGTGTTGTTTGGTTTTGCTTTTGAGTTTGAATCAAAAAGGACAGGTTATCTCCTCAAACGCTTCACAATTGACATGATTTTTTGGGAAGACAGGAGCTTAAGTTTAAACAATGGCAAATACTAAAATATTTTAGAATTGAAGTGGTCCTTAGCTGCCTGCACTGTTCTCATTAACAAAGAACCTTTTTTCCTTCCTTATTATCATGTCATTGCACATATTTAACAACTTCCCTGATTTGTTGCTTTCTGCATTGGTTTTACTAAGTATCAGCATCGGTTAGCCTGAAGTATTTTGTGTTGGGTGAATCGGATCTTTTTGGGGTTAAGAAAGCTAAAAGCTTGTTATCCCAAGTAATTTTACCCCAGTTACTACCTAGTATTCTCATTTTGTTAAAATACAGGAAAAGATTTTCACAATCGCAGACAAGACCTAGGGATTCCACTGTGTTCGCGTGTTTCTTCAAATCCGTGGGATTAGGCAAGGCCTGTCTTGGTTCTGAGTGTCAAAGAGAAAGACTTGCTGATTTAGTTTCATTCTTTGCCACAAGCAGTGTAGAACAAGAAATAAATAAAACATTTAGATAAAATTTGAGTTGTGGAAGCATTAAAAGACTTCTGTAGAAACTGCAGTAAATCGTGACAAACCAAGAGAATTGTCTTTCAGTCCAAGGCATATCCAATGTCTGACTGTGTGTGTAAGTGAGACCATAACCTGTGCGCCTGCCGACACTGCAGGATTAATTCCACGTGCTGAGCTCGCCTTTGTCTCACTAAAAATCGGTGAAGCCAGCCTAAATCATCAGTTGAGATCTCTCATTCAGCTACGATTTTACTTTACATTGCATTCAGGTGGAGCCACTTGAAAACATTTCAGTGAATGTCCCCACTGCAGATAACTCCCTAAATCCTGTGGGATGCTCACCTGGGCCTGTACTCGCTGTGTATTGATGCAAAGTCGTTCCCAGGCACTAGTTCCATGTATTAATAGATAGTGAAGGGATGTCCGTGTGTGGTGATTTATGTGCAGTCAGCGTCTTCGCAGAGCGCTGCAGTTGAGAAGCTCAAGTAATTATTCCTATTAGTCCAAGGACAAAGCCCTTCTAAGGTACAGGGAAAACATGTTGGAAGACCTGAAACCTGTTTGCTTTGGCCACTTCCCAAACAGCATTAAATTAATTTATACAAAAATAAGGTAAACTGAGCCAATACTTACTTTTTTTTTTTTACTAGCCTGATTGACTCGAATAGTGTCAAGACAACTTCTACATTGACTGATTTTGTATATATGAAATACTTTATGAGCAGTACAGGGAGTTAAACTGTAGAACAACTGTTGATTGTTAGTACAGAGAAGTTTTGGGGTTCTGGTGGTCCTTGATGGAGTCTGGGAGAAGGCAGTAGGTGAAGCGAAGAAATAGATGAACGAAATTTAGACAGAAAGGAGTGAAGGGAGGGCAGGAGAATTCAGAAGACATGGAAAAATACCTCATTCTTTGTGTTACGGACACATGTCTTTAAAGAGGCAGCGTTTGTGTTCCAAGGGCTCAGAGTGGGGACCACTTCTATGAAAGGGAGAAAAGACAACCTTCACCCTTCAAAATGTTGTCGCTTGTGGTGCCTTAGAGATGCATCTTTCACTGCTGTACTAGTTCCTGAGTCTTATTTGGATGCGTGCTTTGTATTTGAAAATATTACAAAATCTGTTACTTCTGCCTCACCACTCCTTTCTTCTGTAAAATGCTTATTTTCCATAGTGTAACTAAGTCAGCTGTCACATACTTTCCCCTGTGCATTTCTAACCACTTTGTGAAGCGCTCATCTTAGAAAAAAATGTACACTAGTGTGGAGGGAAAGGAATGAGGTAGAAGGGAAAAATAATCTTTTTGTTTGGAGTTATGGCACTCCAGATGGTAGAAGATGCTGTTCGGTATATGTAGTGCTACTATATTTGCTTTTTCTAATTAGTTCTATTGCTAGCTGACTCAAAAAGTATGGTAAAAGAAAAAGCCTGAGGTATTAAGAGGCTGTGGTAATGATAAATAGTAGGCTTAAGTACATAGTAACAAACGAGAAGTATGGTGTCTTCTGAATGCTGGAACTGTACTTGAAGCCCTAACGCTCTAAACCTGACTTAGCAAAGTAGGCATAACCTAATTCTTCAAGCTCTGCAGGTTTTTCTGAGATATGCTGCTACTCGCTCCGCTTGTTTTAGGAACGGCAGGTGAAGTGACTGTAGAATATTGTTGGCTATTTGTGTTGTGGTAGTACCTATGTAGTCATTTTCCAGAGAATCTAGATTAATTTCTCCATAAGCTATAATGTTGAATGTCTTCTCTTTTGTCTGAACGGTTGAAATACAGTAGTTAAGTATTTCTTGAAATAAAACCGTGCACAAACAGGGGATGGATTTCTGCGTGGAAATTCACTTGAAGACCATGGAATCTTATACTGTGTTCTGGTTTGTGAACTAATTTAGCAACTCCAGTGAGACTTCAAGTGAACGCTTCGTGTGCTCTCTGCTTAGGTTTTATGTATCCTCTGAAAGTATTGTGGTGGTGCTAAAGAAGGGGCTGAGATGTCTGTGTAAAGAAGGATAAATCTAGACTGCTGCTGCTAGCTTCTGAAATCTAGCTTTGTCTGGATATATAATTAAACTGAATTGTGATTCTGTAGCTGAAAATTGGCAACCCACTCATTTAATGACAGTATTTGATAAGCCAGACTCCTGATAGTTCCGTGAGAGAAGATTCATTTGCAGGGCACTTTGGGTTGTTGGGTTTGTTAGATATGCCTTTGTTTTGATGGATGCTCTTTGTAATCCTGTAGGTACCCTGGTTGTTTCATAGTTGTTTTTCTCTGTCAACAGAAAATCAATTAAAAATCAAAGAAGAAAAAGAGGAGGTGGAGGAACAGTCAACGGAATTGGAAAGCCTTCCTCTTCCCGTGGTCAAAGAAGACGAAAATACGCTGAAAACTGAGAAGGTGGAAGAAAAAGAAATTATAAAGCTGCCAGTAATAGTAAAATTAGAGAAACCTTCAGAATACAATGAAGAAAAGCAAACTGTCAAAGAAGAAAGTGACTCCTTTAAAGAAAACGTCAAGCCTGTTAAAGTAGAGGTGAAGGAAAACAAAATAGAACCAAAAGACTTAAAAGAAGTAAAAAGTTGTACGGACAAAATAGCAGTTCATGAGCCAGAGAGGTTAGAATTTTGTGTTAATGTCAAAACTCCCCAAGAAATTGTGGAGAAATCTGTGGAAGAAAGTGAGAAACTTAAAAATGACCAGCAGGCAAAAATACCACTTAAAAAGCGCGAGATCAAGCTGACGGATGACTATGACAGTCCAATAAAGGGGCCTCTATGTAAATGTGTTACTCCAACAAAGGATGTCTTGAAGGAAGAAGGGAAACCAGAAGAAGAAGCTTTTAAGAGAGTGCCTACAATTACTGCTTTATGTCCCGATGGGAAAGTGCTAGTAAATGGAGAGGTTAGCTGTGAAAAAATATCCCCAGGTGTCATACAAAACAGTAAGTCGGAACATTCTGCTGGCACAAAGGAAGACAGCAGCTCATTAAAAGAGAAAAATGGAAAAAGTGGGGAAAAGGTGTCAGACTCCCTAAATTCCGTTAGTAAAATTATAAAAGCCTGCGAGGTTGAGAAAAACGCAGTAACTGTGGTGAAGGAAACGGGGGCTGTGGTCTCTGAGGTTTCTAATCAGAAAGTGCCTTTAAAGGAGGAATCTAGTCCTGTGGAAAAAGAGTCCCTTGACAGCACAACCACTGACACTGTAGTGGAAGAGTCTGCAAACTCTGAAGACTGTGCCAAAACATCTGAGGAGAAACTAGCCGTGAAAATCAAAAAGGACAAGCTGCCGCCGCCCAAAGAATGTTTAGAGAAGCCCGCAAACACATCTGCTCCTGCAGAACTGCCCAAGCTTGCACTGTCTGACGAAGAGCCTTTGAAAAGTAAAGGTGACTCTGAGGAGAAACCCGATTCTCCAAAAGCTGCTGAGATACCCCCTGCATCTACTTCTCCTGTTACTTTAGAGAAACCTGTTTTGGAAAAGGAGGGCTCTGACAGTAAAACGGCTCCACCTGAGGAGGGCAACGTAGAAGAAAAATCCAGCCCTGAAAAACGAGAGGGAGAGCCAGAAGCTGCCAAGACAGAGCCAGATAGGTTAGATGATGCCCATGCTTCTAATCTAGAGGACTCCTCAGACAGTAAAAAGGAATCCCCAGTACCTAAAAGCAAATTTAAATATAAGCTAGTTTCTGAAGAAGAAAGCTGTGCAACAGACAATAAAGAACTAACTTCTGAAAGACAGAAAGAAGGAATTAAATTAACAATCAGGATCTCCAGTCGGAAGAGAAAGACAGAAACACCACCAGAAGAGGTCAGCATTGGCCGCACGTTAAGGCGATCTCCAAGAATATCCAAGCCTACTCCAAAAGTTGTGGAGACTCGGGATCAGAAACCTGAGAAAAAACGACCTGAAGAGGAAGAGGAGAAACCTGCAGCAGCACAAAAACCAGAACGAAAAGAAGATGCAAAAAAACAAGAGAAGGAGTCAAATTCTAAGGTTAACAAGGTAATACAGTTTTATTACCCGGGAATAATGAATACCCACAGTCTTATCTATAAGGAGAATATACTTTTACATAGGAAAATTGAGGATTATGTTCCTTTGGTCAGCTTTTGCAAGAAACTAGCTTTGCGATCCAGTTAGTGGACTCAACCAATTTAAAAACACCCCCTAAGAGAGTGGTAATATCTGGTGACTTACCAGTTTATAAAATCTGTCACTTAACCTAAACTAAGTAGACCAAGTCAACCGGAGTGAATTCTTCTAAAAACTGAAATGATCAGACCTGAGTCAGTCTGGCTGAGTGGCTGAACGGAGACTTCTAACTCCTGTGGATTTACTAGATGGATACTTGGTGGTGTCTGGTGGGTCAGGATGATCGTAAGCCAAAAAGGAATCAACAAATGGTGAAGAATAAAAATAGTATGACTTCTGTTTCTAGGTGAAGCAAAAGTTATTGTTGTGGTGAGTTGATGATATAATTTAGCTTTTCTCATACGTGGGATATAAAACTTTGGGTGGAGGTATCTCTGTTCACGATAAACTTTCGCTTATACAGCATAGATCTTAAAAGTATGTCAGGTATATATATAACCCACAGAGTTAAACATGCATATGTCTAGAGTGCTTTGAAGTCTATCTTAATTGTAAACAACTTTTATTAATTTATCTTCCACTTTTTCTGGATATGGAGTACAAAAGAGAAACAAGGAATAAAAAGGCTGTACTTGAAGTGCTCTCTCTTTATATCAACTTGAAATACTATTAGTTTTTCCACTGCTATACATTTTCTTACTGATTTTGAAGTTTTACCATGACATTCACTTATTTATCAAGTTTCTTTCACATACTCCTACATTGCATAACCTTCATAAAATGAACGGTTGATTTTTCATTGAATGATAACAATCTATACTGAAAAATTCTGTTATATAAATAAAAAAATGAAAAGTAAATTTTTCATTTAAAGATTTTCATTAGAAGTGAAAGTAATAGTGATTGTAAGTCGTAGAAGTAGTTTTAACTTGAAGGTACTGTTGCTGTAGGTGTTCTAACTTGATCTCTTTTTTTGAAAGATAAAGAGATCTGAAGATGCTTACTTTTCTAGAGAGATTTTAAAATAAATATGGTAAAGGGGGAAGTTTGAATCTAGTAAGCTTCTGTCATTCCATCAAGATGAAAAATACCCAAATCTTTAATTTGCTGGTTTATATTTGTTCTCTTTTACAGAAGGGTCTTTAAAAAATAGTTTTGAAATGATGATGACCTAGGAGGAAGTCTAAACTTAAACTAGTACTATCATAGATTTAAAGTAAATTTGCTACTGAAGTTTAGTGAACAGTAAAGTCCATAAAGAGGTAGAAATTAACGTTAAGAATCTGAAACAAAATTTTATCAATATCATAGAATCATATCATAGAAAGATTTGGGTTGGAAGGGACCTCAAAGATCAT